GATAGGACCAAGTGAACCACAACTGACAGATCAGATCAAAACTCTGCAGTCCTGCTGCATCCAGTCATAAATAATTGTAGCCAGTTAAACAGGTGCCCAGTGGGGGATGAGGTTCAACAAATATCGTGTGTCCTTAATGATGCGAAGCCCAGCACATCAGTGCAAAGACCAGGCTGAAGCATTTGGAACCATCATCAGCAAGAAGTTATAAGTGGATGATACATTTTGGCCTCCTCTTGAGGTTTCCAACATTACAGAAATCAATCTTCAGCCAAGTTGATTCACTCCGTGTGAGATCAAGAAACAGCTGAAGGCACTAGATCTTGTAAAGGCTATGGGCTCTGGCAATATGCTAGCAATAGTACTCGAGCCCTTTCAGCATCTCTAGCCAAGCTCTTCAAGTGGATCTACAACAGTGGAATCTAAATGACATTGTATAAAATTGCCCAGGTACATCCTGTCCATAAAAAAGACAAATCCAGCTCAGCCAATTATTTCTCCATCAGTTTGCTCTGAATCATTATCACCTTGATGGAAGCATCATTGTCATTGCTATCAAGCAACACTTACTGCAATTATCTGGGCACTAATGCACAGTTTGGATCCTGTCTCGGCTTCTGACCATGTTTCAGCCTTGGTCCAAATGTGGCATCAAAGCTGAAGTCATTAGGACTTAGGGTAAAACTCTCTGCTAGTTGGAGTCGTACTTACACAAAAGAAGATTGGCATCCATCAAATACACCGTCTCAGTCCCAGGGCACTGCTGCAGGAGTCCCTCAGAGTAGTGTCCGAGGCCCAGCCATCTTCCAGTCTGTTTTTCTTAATTTGTTCCTGGGATTGGAGCATCACTGGCTGGGCAAACATTTATTGTTTAACCCTAATTGCCATTGAGAAGGTGATGATCAGCCACCTTCTTGGACTGCAGAGTCCTTGGGGTATAGGAATTCCAGGATTTTGACCCAGCGACTATGGAAGATTAAAAGTCAGGATGGTGTGAAGCTTGGAGGGAAATATTTTTGTGATGGTGGTCCCTATGTATCTACTGCTGTTATCCTTCTAGGTGGTAGAGGTCACATGTTTGGGAGGTGCTGTTGGAGAAGCATTGTTGAACTGCTTCACTAATGACCCTCCCTCCATCATAAAGTCAGAAGTGGGGATCTTTGATAATGTAGTTTTTAGTACCCTTTGCAACTCCTCAGATACTGAAACAGGTCACTGCCTCTATACTGCAAAATGTGGATAATATTCAGGCACGGGATAATACGTACAAGTAATATTTGTGCTACACAAGAATTTAACCATTCTCCTTTTGATATTCAATGGCAATACCATTGCTGAATTGCCCACTGTCAACATCCTACCAGTTACCATTGACCAGAAACTGAACTGGGCCAATCCGCTACTGTGGATACAAGACAGCTCTTAGACTGGGAGTACTTTAGGATGTAATTAACCTCCTGACTCTCCAAAGCAGGTCCATCATCTACAAAACACAAGTCAGGAGTGTAATAGACTTTCCTGATTGTGTACAGGTTCCACAACACTCGAAGCTTAACACCATCCAGGACCAAAGTAGCCAGCTTGTTTGTACCCTAACCATTACCTTAAGCATTCCCTTCCTCCACCACTGGCTCTTACTGGCAGCAGTGTGTACCATCTACAAGATACACTGCAGGAACTCACTAAGCCTTTCCCAACAACAATTTCTAAGCCCCAGACTTCTCTCACCTGGAAGTACAAGTGCAGCAGATACATGGGAACACCATCATCTACAAGTTCCCTTCCAAGCTACACATCATCCTGACTTGGAAGTGTTTGACCATTCCTTCTCTGTCAGTGGGTCAAAATCTTAGAACTGCCTTCCTAATAGGCCTGTGGGTGTACCTGCATCAGATGGACTGCAGTTTCTAGCCACAACCTTCTCCAGAACAAATAGGCATGGATAATAAATGCTGGCAAAGCCAGAAATGCCTATATCCCTTGTCAGATTTTTTTTTAAAAAATGAGGGAGCTAAATTATGTTTATACTTTTAAAGGAAGCGGAAAAGTACATTAGATTCCCCCATGCATACACGTAGATAACCACCTACCTGTGGACCTTCCTCCATAAGGCCATTGAACACCACATGAACTGCACCAGTTCAAAAAGGCAGTTCACCACCACCACCACCTCAAATGAAATTAGGGACAGAAAGCAAATGCTGGCCAGTCAGCAATGCTGACACCCCAGAAGTAAATTTAATAAAAAATCTGGAAGTTTATTTGTTTGAACATCAATTACTGAACTTATTTTTTTTAAAGATTCTGGTGGCATTGCGACATTTACACTTTAAGAACATTGTACACTGTGACCTGAAGCCTGAGAATGTACTACTTGCCTCAGCAGATCCTTTCCCTCAGGTGAGTATATGTTTTTTAAATTTAATCACAAGATATTGGCATTGCTGGTGAGGCGGAGTTTAAATATAATTTTAATTACTATACAGAGAGCTAAACAAAGGCACATATTATGAGCTAGCTGTGCTGACAGTGCCATTTGTGTCCCCCACTTTATTCTGTATCCTTGACTGAAACATTGTGGCTATCAGTAATAATTCTCTGTGAGTGATTTCTGATTTTTAACCATCCTAACGCACCTTTGAAACATTACCTGATTTCAATTTAGCACTGACTGCCTTTGAAGCAACATGACATTTTAAAATCTGTTGACTGCTACAGCAGATATTTCTGTTTCATATTTGCTGAATTTAACTTTATTGGATGGCAGAATGAATGATTAAGCATTATGTCCTGCATTGATTTATGAATTGGCTATTTTTGTGCCTTTGACAGAAGTTTTGGGTAATATTTCTTTCATTGTTTATATCTATCAAGATTCAGCTGTACAAAATGCTTGCCTTGTATTCTGCATTGTGCAACAAAACGTGATGGTGAAGATTTTGGTCTTATCAAATTGCATAACTTCAAACATTTTTAACAGTTATTGAGATAAATTTTTCAGAAATAGCTACAGATTCGATTTATGAGCTGTAACTGTCTACTAAAGGTTTCTTTGAAGTCACATGATATTTTTTAATAGCTCAAATCTCCCAAGTATGCCATTCTATAAGAAGTTTTGTCGTCGTGCTATAATTGTGTAATTGCTTGTAGATCTGTGATTTATCGCATAATGCAGAGAGAGCCCAAGTATATCTCCTGATCTGCATTAGATTAGCCAATCTGTGATCAGGTGTTTTTGGTGTTGGGCTCCACATTCCCAAGTTAAGGATAAAATATCAAAGACAAACTGTTCTTAGTGGTGACTAGCAACTCATTTTAAGAAGTCCACTGCAGAGAACTTCTTGGACTTCACTGTATTAGCATCCACTGTTAAATATTCTAAAGCACCCTGTGTAATTTCGATGGAGTCTGACAATGGGATTGTTAATGTAAATGAAGCACAGTCAAATTGCTAAGACATCAATGTTGCTAGCATCTATAAGTTTAATCCTAGGCACAGGATCAGGCAATTCAAATCCTCAAGTCCATTCCACCTGTCGGTGAGATCCCTTGTATCCATATTGTTTTAAACCCATTGCCATTAAGATTCTTGATCTCAAATTTAAAATTGTTATTGTGAGAGATAATTCCATACCTACTATTCCTTCTTGAAGGGGAAAATCCTAAAAACTTTAACCATATCACTCCTTAACTTCCTATTTTTCAGGCAATACATGCCTAATTTATGTAATTTCTCATCACAATCTGAGGGGGGTGTAGGGTGGTCAGGTAGCTCAGTTGGTTAGACTGGTTTCTGATACAAGTGAAACCAACTGCATGGATTCAATTTCCACACTGGCTGAGGTTACCATAAAGGTCACATCTTCTCAATCTTGCCCCTTGTCTGAGGTGTGGTGACTGCCAGGTTAAACTTACCATCAATTGTCTGTCTCTAATGAGGGGCAGCCCTATGGTCCTCTTGGAGCTATGGCAACACTTGGACATACCTCATAATTTAATCATAATCTAACCGTCAGAACCCTAGTAATATTCTAGTAATTACATTGCATGTATTCCAAGACCAACATATCCAAAGGTGCAGTTTCAGAAGTGCATGCAGTACTCCAGATATTGTAAATGTGGATCAGAACTTCCTTCCCATTATATGCTAGCTCCTTAGTTATGATGGCTTACCCACAGTAACATTTGCAAATTTTGCTTTTGTGCCTGAATATTTCATTTTAATCATCTGGCTATATGAATCCCTAATTTTCCCTTCCACCATTTCATCCTTCACTTTCGCTTTTCATCATTTAAAAAATAATCTGGTGTATCCTTTTTTTTGGCTGAATCTAATAACTGCACACTTAAGTCCATTCAAACCCATCTGGCATGGTTCTGCCCACTCAATTATTTTGTCAATGTCTTGTAATTTTATGCTCCCTCTATGCTACTGACTATTGTAGAAATATAAAATACAGAACAAAGTGTTGAACATATACAAATCTTTGCACATGGTATTTTAACTGCTCTCAAAGTTGAGAACCTCATTATAGAGAATAGATAAATGGTAAAGAAGCAGCAACTGAGATATTACCTAGGATGGGGTTACAATTATGAAGATGGATTTTTAAAGTTTAGAGGTTTGTCACCAGAACTAAAATGTTAAAGTGTGATCCAGTAGGGATTATCAAGATTATGAAGAGTTGTGACTAAGTAAATACTGATCGGTGTTAAAACCGTGAAATTAAGGCACAATTTTGGATACACATGAGGAATTAAAGGTTAGAAAAATGTGCTATATATTTTTTAAAATTTATGTATTTGCTTGGACTAGAGGAGTATTAAAATCTGGGCAGTGAGCAAGAAAGTGGCATTGGCGTAGCTGTCACATAAAGAAAAACACCATCTCATCACAAGCTAGATGGTTTGTTTCTATTGTCTATGGATCTACAAGTAAGCCAACATACAGGCATAATTTTAATCAGTAATACTTGTGATTACAAAATTAACGACTACAAAAAGTTCTCACTTTAGAGTACACATGTTACTGTGTAATGAGGCGACACGGTGGCTCAGTGTTTAGCTCTGCTGCCTCACAGCGCCCAGGACCTGGATTTGATTCCACCCTTGGGCAACTGTATGGAGTTTGCACATTCTCCCGGTGTCTGTGTGGGTTTCCTCCAGGTGCTCCGGTTTCCTCCCACAGTCTAAAGATGTGCATGTTAGGTGGATTGGCCATGCTAAATTGCCCATACTGTTCAGGGATGTGTAGGCTAGGTGGGTTAGCAATGGGAAATGCAGAGGTAGTGGGGTGAGAGGGTTGCTCTTTGGAGGATTGGTGTGGACTCAATGGGCTGAATGGCCTGCTTCCACACTGTGGGGATTCTATGAGATTTGATGCCATTCTTGGTTGACAGCTGAATTTTTAGCTAAATTCTAATTACCTTTGACTTTTTTTAGGTAAAGCTCTGTGACTTTGGATTTGCTCGTATTATTGGTGAGAAATCATTCCGACGATCTGTGGTGGGAACCCCAGCCTACCTAGCCCCAGAAGTCCTCCGGAGCAAAGGCTACAACCGGTCACTTGATATGTGGTCAGTGGGGGTTATAATCTATGTAAGCCTCAGTGGCACTTTCCCATTCAATGAAGATGAAGATATTAATGACCAGATTCAAAATGCAGCATTCATGTATCCACCAAATCCATGGAAAGAAACCTCTAGCGAAGGTAGGAGAAAATCAAACAATTCTAAGCTTCCTAATTAACATATAAAGCTTATGCTTGATTATAGAATAGCCATTCATCATTGCTGATAATGCCATGAGCATTTTCCTGCATCAGAATGTGAAATTGAATTACATACAGAATTCTTGAAGGGGACCGCACTCCATAAGATGTTAACAGCCGTGGTCAGACAATTATTATGTTGTTCTTCAAATTGCCTATTTATCTTACAAACTCATCCTCACCTCATGTCAACCACTGATGATATCACCATCACCACGGAAGAGCTTCCATATCTACACTGACAACTACTTGTATCTGTCTGTCACTTTGTTTGTCCCCTCCATTGCTTTTTTGCTGGCAGGCTGCTCATCTGACATCTACTCTTGAATGAGTCTTCGCATCCTCCTCCAGTTAAGTATTGGGAAGTCGAAAGACATGATCATTTGTTTCCATCACTTATTCCATTCATTCCATTCTCTTTCCCAGCAGTTGTCTCAAGTCGAGCCTGATTGTCCTGAAACATAATATCCTTGTCGACCTCAAATTGAACTTCTGCCCAGCACAAAAACTGCCAATTTCTTCTTTGTGACACCAGGCAGCTCTATCATTCTCCACCTTTCCCTTCCAGAGATAGTTATTTCAAAGGTCCATTAGCCAGCCCAGCCTCCCATCCTCGACCCTCCGAAAACTTCAGCTCATCTAATACCCTTCTCTCCAAATCCAATGCAACATCATCTCCCATTTCCATCTTTCCCATACTCGCTGCCAGTATTGTTTCCTGGTCAACAATATTTAACCCCTTCATGGCTTCATCTCTCACTGTCTCTGACTTCTTGCCAATTCACAATTTCAAGCAGGAATTCTATTCCTCTGGCTTTAGATTTTTGCACAAGTTGGCTACCAGTTATAGCTATGGGCAACAGCAATTGCATTCTTCTGTGGAACAGTGAGTGGTCCACGTTTGTACAAAGAATTTAAGGATCTAGGTAAAAAATTAGCCATCAAGATCACAAATGTAGTAACTTCAGAATACTTCCAGTATCATGTGAAAGTGAACACAGAAATAGAAGGGTAAGGTAGATGAGTGCATGACTGTCAAGATAATTCAGGAGGGAGAGCTTTAGATTCCTGGGTCACTAGGACCGGCTGTGGGGAAGATCATACCTGGCTCAAGTGGATGGTTTGCGCATGAATAGAGTTCATACAGTTCTTAGTGGGGTGTTTTCTCTTATTTTTGAGAGGGCTTTAAACCAACTCAACAGAGGCATGGGAATATTAGAGGAGAACACTAGGTTTCACAAATTACATGGAAGGACGAATACACTAGAATAGAGTAGCAAGTCAATAGGTGAAGTTGGAATAAGGGAGAATATAGTGAAGTCTAAATTTGATTTACTCTGTATGTATGCGAATGCCTGGAGTACAGTAAATAAGGTGGGGAAATAACTAGCACAGATTGTCATGTGGTGATAACTGAACCTGGCTCAAGGAAGGGCGGGATTGGTTATTGAATATTCACGGATGCAAACTTCAGAAGAGATCAGAAAGTGGGAGGGATGGCGATATTGTTTAAGGAGAGTGTTGGAGAAAAAGGATGGTTGCAGAGGGTCTCAGGCTAAATTGGATGCCAGGTCTAAGGCACTCCCAAGACACTCCATGACCTCATCATCTATACTACTTTTGCCAATCTGATTTATCCAATCTTTATGTATATTGACCACATGCTCTTGTTTTCATCTTTTGCGTATTTGTTCACAGATCACTAATTCAATGTGTTTTGCCCCTTTTTGTAGCCATTGATCTAATTAACAATCTGTTACAAGTAAAGATGAGGAAACGCTACAGTGTGGACAAATCACTCAGTCATCCTTGGCTACAGGCAAGTTGGATGTTGCATGATTTACAATAATTATTCTGGTTATGTAAGGCATTAATGTAATGTAATTTATATTCCGGTTTTGAACTCAAGCTTGTTGCATAAATCAAAATGGTCATTTCTGGTGCTATAAATAGTAAAAAGAGAAGGATTTTTGCTATTTTAAAGGATCAGCAAACCTTTTTGATTCATCCAGACAGAGTTTGAATTTTACTGCAAGTGTCTTAAGTTGTTTTTGATGCTGAGGTCAAAGGTGTAAGAAATGCAAATGTTGTTTGTCATCCTTTTCTAAACTAATTAATAGTTTCAAAATGATATTAAACAGATCAGCTTTCACACTATGCCATTGATTCCAATTCTGATGTTGTGCAATCTTTAAATGCTGACTGATACAAGAAACATGTTGCTCTGACTGTTCCATACATTGTGTTTATGACAGGTGTATCTGACACTTACTATAAGTTTATGGAGCTATGGAAATGATTATATCTTGAATAATTGAATTGTACATGGTTCGTATTACTCACTCTTGAATAAAGAGAATAATATATTCACATTATGTTTCATTAGTGATACGTTTCACCCAGAATAGATTGTTGTACCTAATCTAAACCTGTGAATTCACCTTTTTCTTGCCCCTTTGTATTTTTGTGTAATGCTGTAAATCAAGATTGAAATATTCTGTTGCCTATGCATTTACAGGATTATCAGACATGGCTAGATCTCCGAGAGTTTGAGACCAGGAAAGGAGAGCGTTACATCACACATGAAAGTGATGATGCAAGATGGGAGGAATATTCCCTGGAACACAATCTCCAATACCCCAAACACTTCATCATGGCACCGAATTTGGATGATATGGAGGAAGATCCTTAATATATCAAACTGAACAAACTGCCATGACTGATTAACATCACGGCTATGTTGTGGAAATGTACGCCACTGGGGTAAAGGAAGCCAAGACTTGTTGCTGCTTGTCGTACAGCACAGCCAAAGTGGATTAGATACTGCCCGGCTCTTTACATCAGTCCATGTGACAATAAAGAGGAATGATGTAAATGAAGACTGTGGAAACCTGTAGCATATTTCAGTTACACAGGTGCAGACTTGGTGACTGGTGTATGTGGACAAAGAGGACAAATGAATGCTGTGAGCTTTAGATTTTAAACCAAACATTCCTTTTCTAGTATTTAGCTGGTTTAATACTATTCACCCAAGTACCTCTCTGGTAACTAGTCACTTTGTACCAAGCCATAAATGTATTTGTTTACTAAATGCAAAGCTAGATCAGACAATCTCTTTTTCGTAAGTGTTTTATTTTTAAGAGATAGAAAGTTACTGCGAAAAATTGTCCTTTGCAGGACAAGGGCTATTGCTCGGACCAAATTCAGTTTAAATAAGGATCTCTGCTTACTAAGGTTGGTTGGCACTTTCAGAGTTGATCATCAGTTTGTTCCATTTTGTATACACGATTGAGAAAGTATTACCATATGAAGGGTCTCTTAAGAAATGGCATTATCACTTTCATTGATTACATTGGGAAGTTGATGTCATTGAGTTACCAAAACTTTCTTGTATGTAAGTCTTATGATAATATAAAGCTATAGCATCTCTTTCCTAATGCTGAGTATAACATTGGCAGACCAATATCTCCAGTAGTCGCTCAGTTGCTGATCCATGTGTACTATGGTTCAAAATATAGCAGTCACTGTTACAATGAAGTGATATTGATTGGATTAGAATGAAGAAATGGTGCTAAAGGAAGAATACTGGAGTCCTAAAATCCACCTACATCCGGAACCCATTATACCAGATTAAGCTATAAATTCTAGAGTGGAACAACGATGCAGCCGGAGGGAACACAGTTTCTAGGGTTTAGTTGGAAACACGTACTATATTGCCCTCTTGCCACTAGAAGGCACTGTGGAGACATTTTTCTTTGAAGGTGCCAGGAAGTCCACTCATTTATTTAACTCCCAGCGGTGACTAGTACTGTTGTAAACAATACAGATTTGTCTTGTCATCTGTCTTTGTGATAGCAGAAGGACAAATCCCATCTGTGCGAAGCCCATTATTTTCATTTTTTAACTGTTTTAAGATGCTGCAGGTCTGTGTTCCACAAGTTGACAATGAGTCACTGTTCTGTCGGCTGCTATCCATCAGATTACTGGCAGCAGGAAGTGAATAAGTAGTATTCTGTGCCTGCATCTGAACAATCAAATGAAGATCTTTGCCACATCATTCCAAACAGAGAGCAGTTTTAATGGATATAGAAGCAAAGAAAAAATAGTTGAATGGCCTTGTTGTTTATGATACCAAGAAGGCACACATTGGCATTACAGACAAAAACCATGACAGCACCTGGATATGATGATTCTGGCCTCTAGATATTTGCTCCCTTATGGTTGAGGCAGTGTAATTTTTTAGTAGTTGACGCCTTTGACTTCAACCTTCACATAAGAACAGTTTGTCTCTGAACTGGTGGGAGATGGTAGGCCTGGTGTGGTGGGTGTGGGTAGGGAAAGTTTTGCTGTTGTCCTGCTTCTCGTGCTGTTTTATTAAGAGGAGTTTTACATGAAATGTGTATTTTTAAAATTATATATAGATGGAGCCTATGGCACAGCCTTTTTTAAAAAAAAACTGTCAGTTCAAACACTTGAGAAATTTCACAGGCTGAAATGCATAACTTGAAGATAGGCTATGCAATTTGAAAGAAAACGTGAAAGTGAGCGATCTCCCCCTCACACAAGCTTGTGCTTGTTTCCTTACTGTATGCACTCTGATGTATATAAGTGTCTAATTGACATTAAATATTCCACTCGTACATGTTTTTATTCAAAAATACTTTATATTTCCCTCCTGAAGTTGGAAAGCAACTTTTGTAAATCATGTAATTAAAATTCAACAGTTTGTTTTTACCAGATGTGTTCCTTTGATAAAATAAATATCACAGCATACAACAGCAATATTTTAAGGATTAGAAATTATAGGTGAAAAATGAAAGATTGAACAGTATGTTGATTGATATGCGCTCCTATTACAAAGAGCAATTGTCTACCATTTTTCAATATTGGCAGGCCTAAGATTGGTGATCACCACTGGTGATCTAAAGTTCATTTTCTCCCCCGACAACACAGGCCTGTTGGCAACTAAACCTTTAGCTGCTTAGTATCAGTACTGTAGCTGTGAGGTTCACCAGATCGCAGGTAGTATCAACTAGACTTGGGCAAGTATCTGGCTATATGAGCAGCCTCCCATTCATATAAGGCTGAACTGCAGCCACTTCCATGCCTCTTTTTGTTCCACCACTGGAGACTAATGAATGGATTTGAAAAGTAGAATTTTTCCAGTAACCATTTCCAACTGGGTGTATTCATAGCTTCACAGTGTCCATTGCAAAGCGTGCCTTGAAGCTGAGTTTTCTTTTGTTTGGGAGAGAGAAGTACCCATGTTGCCCAAGTTGATGCATGCAAGTACTTGCATGATATATGTTGATGTTTGCGTGAACCTCAAATAGTGCAGCATCAGGAGAAATCCAGTTTCTCAGCAATAAAGAGTGTTTGCTACAGTATTGTTGCAATTCACATTTTCGACCTCTGATTGTATCTTTTTTAATCCACCAAAAGGCCCAGCTTATTGGATGCATGTAAATCTGAGAACACAGTGAATTGCTTTCAATATTAACGTTGTTATTTTCAAATAAAAACCAAAAGAACTGCGGATGCTGTAAATCAGGAACAAAAACAAAGTTGCTGGAAAAGCTCAGCAGGTCTGGCAGCATCTGTGAAGGAGAAAACAGAGTTCATGTTTTGGGTCTGGTGACCGTTCCTCAGAACTGTTCTGAGGAAGGGTCACTGGACCTGAAACGTTAACTCTGTTTTCTCCTTCACAGATGCTGCCAGACCTGCTGAGCTTTTCCAGCAACTTTGTTATTGTTATTTTTCAAAGCTTTTTCATTGCCATATCCCATTCTATTTGAGAAATCTTCTCCAGCCTTTAATCCCAATCTGCAGCCTCAACTTCTTTGATCTAGATCGTAAATTTTGGATTTACTGTATCATCAGAGATGGTATTACAGCTACATGTAGACCTCTCCCATTCTTTGCTAAATTTATCTCACCTATTGCAATTCTCCATGTTTTTATGCAGCTGCTAAAAACCTCTTCAACTGTGCCTTAAATCACTTCCCTATCTCAAAGTTTCTATATTTCTTGTTAATATCTACCCTTCACTTCTGTAAAATGCTGTTTTATGAGACGAGTGGAATAAAAATGCAAATTGTTGGCAAACTACTTTTCCACATATCAAAAAATCTGTCCCTTCTTAAAAAGATACATTGTTGCAAAATAAAAGTATATGATTTAACTTAACAGTGCTGTTTGGATCTTTTAAATTCATGTCAAAAAAACTACTTTAAGATGCTATAGTATCAGTTCTTTTTTAACTCAAAAATATATTCAACCAGCATTGCAGCTAAAACAAAAATAAATCAATTTTCTATCATGCTGCAACTTTAATTGAAACATAATATTCCATTCTGTCATACAATGTCTGTTATAAAGTTAGGTTCAAAGTTTGTTTTCGAGGGAAACAACATGTAGAATTCAGAATAAGGTTCTCCTGTGGAGTGTTCTGACATTAAAAATTTCCACATATTCATGATGCTGTTTGAGAGGTTAAAGTAGATAAATAAGCTATGGTTTTACCCATATGCAATGCGAGGAAAAATTTTCAACATTTTATATGCTTACAGTTTGTACAAATGTATAGGGACCACTAAATTTGAACATAGCTTACTATAGCATTTGTTGCTATTAGAATACCTGAAGAAGAGGCTATTTCGAAGCACTAGCTGTAATGAGACCAACACTTTACCTGAGAATCATTTTTTGATTTTGTTTTGTTCGCATTTTGTGAGCTTGCTGTCTGCAAAGTTGAACAAATAGTTGAGTTTTAAGTAATCTTTTTTGGGGGGGTGTGGGAGTAGTTCTTATTTTATGCTTTAGCTTTAGACTGTTCTGCTCTTATTGTATATTTAAGTGTGCTATACTTTGTCCTGCATTTGTTACAACAGTGTGTTATTTGATAAATAGATCATGCACTCCAGTACTGGAAGATAATATAAGAAGTGAAGTACCTGGTTATAGTCTCAAACATTTCCAAAAATAAACCTTATGCAGTGCTTTTGCTCTGGTTTCATAAGCTTTTTTTTATATTGAAAGTGCGATATCTGTTGTCTTTGCTCTAACCCTTTGATTTTAAGTGCAATTTTGGCAAAGGAAAAACATTTAAGTTTAGAGTCTATTTTAAAAGATTTAAGATATTGTCAAGAAAAAGGTTTACCTTATCTTCTGAACCTATTATGATTAGGGGTGTACAAATATACCAGTACTTGGATTGTGACCTTGTGTAATCAAATTATTATAAAATATTTAAAAAATTGAACACAGCTGAAAAGATGTCGCAACATATGTTTTGTACAGCCAAATAACATGTGGATTCCGCTTGGAGAATCATTTTGGTTTAGCATTAAGTTTGGCTGCACACACCTAATTAACAACCAGAACCAAACTGGGCACCAGAAAAGGTACAGATACAAAGTTACCACATTGGTGGAGCAAAGAATGTGAAATTCAAGTTTCCCTTTAAATTTCAGTTGATCTAGGATTTTTTTCTTTTTAAAAATGCAAAACTATATGATTACCAATCATGGTCAACATAAAAATGTTTGCATTCCTCAACTTTAACCTATTTAATAGGGATCATCTTTCATTGTTGCTGTTTTCCTTAAGACGTGCTGAATGTTCTGCAGTTGACATTGTGTAGGTAGCTTTATGCTGATTAATAAGTTAAACTGTGTCTGTAGATTGTGTATTCCCAATTACGTGAACAAGCAACTACTTCCAATCTTGCTAGTTTTTATCCGATTTTAGTGACATGCTAATGCTGCTGTCTGAAGTTCCAATCCAGTGTGCTCAACAATGTTGAGGTTCAGGCAATGAGCAGAATAATGTAACATTATTCAGAATAATGCAACATTTTAAGTGGTAAAATCCACTTGCTATAAGTTTAACTAACAACCAAGAATTAAAGCAAAACACATTTTGAAAGGGAATTTGTTTAAATTAATTGTTCTGACATTTAATATTGATGTAGTACATAATGTATTATATTTACAACAATTTAGTCTCTGATAATTAATAACTCCATTTTTAAAACTGCACTGTAGATAGACAATTGGAACAGTTCTTGGCTCACTAATACATATACAGGCACATGTTTGATAAATTCTTCACAAACTATGTACTTTGGCAAAGATACTGAAAATGCATCAGTAGTATGAAAGATCTCAATAAATTCTATTACCAATAAAAGAAATCATTCTCTCAGCATGACTTATGAAATAAATTTCATTTTAGCCATGCCCTATACCTGGGTACTGGTACAGACTATAATAACAAAACTGCTGCAGGTTTCCATTTTTATTAACATTTTGGCCTAAAAATATAATTGCAGCTTGCAGCTCAAGGGCTAAAAGCGAAGGTGAAATCAATGTATTCTGATCATTTAGATTTTGGGACATTTTTATTATGTTAAAAACATTACATGTTGTAGAATGATTACTTTTCGCATTGGCTTGCCCTACAATAATTGTTGCCTTTTTGTGTGTTTGCTTCTGTCCAATTAAAAAGAAATTTGGTTTTGTGTGTTCAGTTTTGTGCAGAACAGTCATGAGATACTGGAGGTGGTTTAACAAGGGCTCTCCAGCATCTTTACACTGCACTTTTGCTGGTCAGTGTGGTTGCTGCGGTCCGTACTCATTGTTGTGAAGTGTGATGGAAATTAAGGAACCATAGACTTTAGACAACAGCACAAAGGACCAATTTATGGTGTCTGTTAGGCAAATAGTTACAGACTATTCCTGAAAATCTTTACATCAGTGTTGCCACTGGCTTGGCATGAGTCTTATGGAAAAGTGTTTTTGTATATTTTAGTACTTGCAGTTTAATAAAACTCTAATTGGAATTTCATATTGTGCTAATTCTATTTTGTTATTGCAAATTGTGGGTGTTTACAGCATTCAAACAAATCACATTTTTAACATTGTTAGTGGCAGCAGCATTTCAAGTGTAATAACAATCAGGATGGGAATTTCAGTAAGGGTATAGCTAAAGGGTGTAAAATTGCCAATCTTTGAACAAAGGAAAAGGGTGTGGAAAAGTAAAAATGAATTAATGATCAGAATCAGGATTGGAGTGCTCAGGTAGTGAGATGTAGGCCATGTCTTGGTTGTAATTATGTGGATGAATAGACGAACTATTAATTCATTACATTGGAGGACCATGGGGAAAATCAAGATCTGAGATGACAATGTGAGACAACGAGAAAAGCAAGATTTTGGATAAGGTAAAGCAAGTCAGTAAGGGGAATGGTTTAATAAATCCAGTTTGAAGATGACAGAGGAGTGAGAGATAACATCAATGAAGAAGTCAAGGTAGGAACAGAATAAAGAAAAGTATTGCATGTGGAAGAAACTGCCCTTGGTGGTAAAGATGTGGTGTTTAAAGTAAGCTCCAGTTCAACCAGGATACAAAGATTGTGAAAGGTGAGTTCATGCTACGAGGGTGACTGGAGAAGGATTTAGTTGAGGCAATGAAGTGGAGTTTTGAGGAAGCATTTTGTCGGATGGGGCTGGCTGTGCAGAGTCTGATAGTGTGGAAATAGTTGAGTAAAAAAGGAAGGTTGTTGGAGTTAGGTATGATTAATGTACAATGTGGAGCTGAGCCCCTGTACCTCCGTAGCTGATGTCTTTGGGAGCAACATCTATTTTTAAAAAAAGGGAAGGCTCTTGAGGGAATGTGGAACTGGAGGAAAATGAGTCTTTCTAAGAAATGTATTTTATTGAATATTCTACAAAGTTTGAGCAGAGATAATATATTGTAGTCCCAATCACAAACAAGAGAACATTGGCTAGGGCTGATAGTTGGAAGGCAAATTTGGGGTGTTATTAGAAAGAAGGGCATAAAGAGCTTGGGGAGGGATGGGAATTGGATGAACAGATCAAATTTTGTGAGAAAGGAATGATGATTTTCAAGGGTAAGGTGCATGAGAAAATGAGACTACTGATGCCAATTAACATAAGTGTCAGAAAGGAGAGCTAGATGATCAGGGTTACTTGGAGAAACTATCATGAAAGAAAAATTTGGAATGAATTAACTTAATAAGCTTGGAAAGGGCACAAAGTTGAGATGCCAAAAGAACAAACTTCAGGACCAGAATTGTTTAGAGTCTGGCTACAGTTTGAAGGGTGGAGGTAGATGCTGGTGATTGAGTGCCCTCCAATGACACAAACTATTTTTCTTTCAGAAATGCATTGTTTCTTTGTGAACGAAAAAAAGCATAACTTGAGCTGGGGATTGAGTAATGCAAAAACTTGGGACATAGGTTTGAGGATTGTTGCTCCAATACAAATCTAATTATACTTTGGGTGATGTTGTCTAATTGGTACAGAACAATGCAGTTTGGGGTTTACATTTTGCTTGGACATGAAAATATTACAACAAGAACTTTTATCATCTGATATGGTTAAGACTGAAGATTTCATGATACGAAAATTTGAAGATTTATTTTTCTCATTAAGCAACAAAAGTTCTAAAATCTAGTTTGATCTTTATTTTGCATATTAGAATGTTCCAATACTTCAACAAAATGACATACTGCACCTAAATGCAATACAAAATGTAGAATTATAGAAATTAATGGCACGAAGAGGACAATACTGCTTATCATGTTTGTTTTGACCCAAAAGGACTTAATTCTGTCTAATTTGTTTTCCAGTTCTTGGCTATAGCTTTTTAACTGTGCTTCAAATGTATAAACAAGTACTTCTAAATGTGATGAGAATTTTGGTCTCTCAGGAAGTGAGTTTCAAATCTCCACTACATTATGGGTGAACAAATGTTTTCCTCAATGCCTCTAATTTTTCTACCGGTCCAAAGATGTGCAGGCTCAGTGGATTGGCTATGCTAAATTGCCCATAGTGATCAGTGATGTGTAGATTAGGTGGGTTACAGGGGGCTGGGTATGGATGGGATGATCTGAGGGTCGGTGTGGACTTGTTGGGCTGAAGGGCCTGTTTCCACACTGTAGGGATTCTATGAAATCGATGGTAACATTCTGTTGAAGTGTCCTACAATTGCCATCTGGGAATGACCAGACTAGAAGTTCATCTGATCCAGACTGTATCAATAATATTGTTTCATGAGCAGGATCAGTAGAAAGTCGGCAGGAAAGTCTGTGAGAACAAAGTGACAGCCATCCACATGGCTGAAGTGAAGAGTGGAAGGGATACTTGCCATTTGGTGCCTGACATTCTCATGGCTTCATGCCATCCAGAACTGAGCCGTTTGCTTCAATGGCAAACCTGTCGAAGAGACTAAATTAATTACACACTAGAGGTCCAGACTTCCAGGCAGAGAGATTTTATTTGTGATATCACGGAGAGTCAACACTGACAAAAGGTCAGGTTCCAAAGACTCCGACAAGCATAAAAAAGAAGCAGAATTTATACAGCGGTACAAACAAGTTAAACAAACTGCAATTGTACTTAGTTCTAGCAAGGCAAGGTCATTACTTAGGCAACCAGACATACATTAATTAAAGCAGAATGTGGTGAAGATAAGAGTGTACAGATGCTGCGAGTCTAGCTTTTTGCTATCTATCCTACGTGACTTCTCAGACTAAGAAAAGCAGGGTGCAGTAACAGCAATATGCACTGTTTCATAAAGCTAAAGTTGCTCTACTTCGTGCTCCTAGTCATGTACTGTTTTAACTCATTGCTACTCAACCTAAATTAAACAGTGTCGACATACAATTATTCCACAATTTCCTCCTTTTTGATCCCTAGATCAACTTCACCAGTCTTCCTCGGCAAACAGAGGGTCGTATCCCAGGGGAACAGGTTTCATGCTCAAGCATTCTTTCTCATTGTAATCAGGACTGTTGGATATGTAACGGGGAAACATGGGAACAGGGTTTTGTCGCCCCGGGGGAGGATGGCGCATATTAGGCAGATCGCTAGAACGCATACTACAGTTATAACAAGGATGATCCCATAGTGGCTCAGTGTGCTCCACCAAGTCCTGAATGGCCACCAACTGGTTCCAGGAGTGTAATAATTATCAAATTGATCCCCTACTGTTTTAATCTTTTTGGCAGCCCGCTAAATGTGGTTGGTCCAATTGATGATGTTTTCAGACTGTTCGGGTATATATGTGCAGCACTTCTGTCCTATCAAGGCACAGGTATCCCCTTTTTCAGCTGGAACAAAGTCCAAAGCCACGCGGCTTTGCAATGCCACCGTGTGGGTGGCTACCCGTTCTGCCGACAGGTTGCTCAGGGCAACCTTGGTCAGGGTCAGGCCATAGGATGTTTCATTGGACACTTTCTCTAGTGCTGTCGCCATCTTGGTAATTTCCTGAGACAACCTAGCCATACCATACAATGGGAAGGCTATCATCCAAAATCTTTCATTCCCTGTTATAGCCCTCTTTTGTCGTGTAATCCAGGGGTACTGGTGCAAAGCTGGGAGTTGGCGCATGTGGGGGATTACATAAGCAAAATAGCAGGAACCTGTCCGTGAGGGGGGCAGCCAGGCATAGGCTTTGTTACCACAAACAAAATATGTGCCATTAAATGGGGTGAAGTAAGTGACAAATTTGGGGTACCAGTTTTGTAGAAAGGAGCCTGAATGGTTGGCTGCGCTAAAATTAAGACAACTACCCAAGCTGTGTGTGATGCGTGGTATTGGGGGTGTTTACTACTAGTGCCATTAAGGGTCCCTTCAGTACATACGTGATCAGGGAACTTCCGTGAGCAGTCCTCATTGGACATGTTGTAGTATTGAGAACATCGGCTGATACCTATTGGTGTCCCTTTTTCCCGTATTGCAGTTCTGGTGAGACAGAGAGGGGTTTTGTGCCTCCTTTCATTAGTTAATGTAAAAAAAAAAGGGAGAAAGGGAGGAGGTTTTGCGACAGTCTGGTTGGTACTATCCCATGAAAGCGTTTAGGGAGTACCCTGCAGACTTCCCCTGTTGCCTGTCTGTGTCAGTGTTAACCGTATAGCGACCAACTTCAGCTTGCCAACCCTCCCGATCTCTGGACAGTGAGCTATTCTGTCTTAATACCCACTCCACACTTCGAAGGCATTAAAGGGGATTGGTCGTGATGGGATTCCCCCTTTTGAATGAATTGGAACGGGGGCGCACATGCAGCAAGAGCGACATTTAAACGTATCGCATATTCATAGCTTGAAGACAGAAATGAGTTGTGGGCAGGGGCATGTTCTATGTGATCCGACACACTATCCCACACAAATAGTCCATGTACTGTAAACACCAGGAACCTCATTGTCTGTCTCTCATGGGTGGACCTGTCACCGTGGTTCCGGATCCTGGTTTACAACGTGTCCTGTGAATCCAGTTCGGCTTGCCTTGCACTTTGACAGCTGTGTGGGTCGTCAGTAGTACTTGATAGGGTCCTGTCCACCTCCGAGAAAGAGAGCCTTTTTCGAGTGATTGGATATACACAAAATCACCAGGTTTAAACGGATGAGTATTCCCTTCCTTGGGCTTTGGCAGTGCTTCTAATACCTTCGCATGGTTGGACCGAGCTGCCTCACTCAAGGCCTATGCATACTGCAGAGTTTTCTCATCAACCCCTATTAGTGCTACATCGGCCCCGGTCATCGGAGGCTTGGTGGCAGTGGTCATGGGTCTTCCCATTAAAACTTCAAATGGGGTCAGGCCTGTCGTTCTATTAACTTGGTTTCTTAGGGTGTATAGGGTAATGAATAAAGCTTCAGGTCACTTTAATCCAGTCTCCTGGCATACTTTAAAAGAATACCCTGGCTAAAGTCCCATTGATCCTTTCTACCACCCCTGAAATCTGGGGCTGATATAGAAAGTGCACATGTACTTCGAACCCCATTACCTGAGTCAGAGCCACTAACACCTTTCCTGTATAGTGCG